TTTCGAAAAACTCGACAAACTATTCAACACAATGCCTCCAAAGTATTTACAGAAATCTTCGGAAATGTTCGGGCGTTCTTCACGTTTATTCAACCGACCAATGGTGGTTCTTTGTACTAAGTCACTGTAATAGTTCCCAGGGATTGGACGTCTCTTATGAATTTACATTTACAAACGGTGACTCCTGGGAGAAACATTTATCCGGTGAAGAAACTCACGGCGTTGAGGCTCTAGCAGTGTCATTTGGAGCCACACTTGTCCTATTTTTGATTGGTTTACTTTTTGCACGAAAGCTTCTTCAACTTGAAAATAAACTACAGAAGGCCTTCAAAGTTTTCATGGCTTCTTTAAGTTGTGAGGTAATCGTTCAGCTGTTCACGTGTATCTACTACATACCGTACATTCGAAGTGGAATACAAATTCCCTATTTAAAAAATGTTGCGGAGTTTCTCCATCTTACGAGTGAAGTCCTCTTTATTCTGCTTCTAGTTTGGTTAGCACATGGGTGGACGATGACAAAAGTTCGCATCAGCAAAGACCTTTATATGTTTTGCTCGCTGCTCGCTTTTACCTACGGAGGTCTGTTCGCGTACAAACAGGCGTCCGTGGACCTTCTGTTTTTCCATTTTGTTCTTGAAAGTCTTGCGGATAAAGGGCTTCAATTTCTACGGATAATCGCCTGGGTTTGTTTTGTTTTTGGGATATATTTGTCCATCCGAAATCATTCCGATAAGAAAAAGTTCTACAGTCATTTTGGAGCTTACTACTCTGTATGGTTTTTACTAGAACCATTATCTACCATTGTCTTCTCGTTCTTTCTCAGCGGGCCAAGTTCAGTAAAAATAATGCGATTATTTCGTATTTCCTGGCTTAATTTGCTGGGGTTTGGTGGCATTTTGCGTCTTATGATGCCAAGTATGGTTGATGTTGTCTTCCCTTATCGCGCCCCTGTTAACGAAGTTGCTACTGTACAGGTTTAAGATTGGAACAATTTTCAGTGAACAGAGCACTTTATCTTTGCCGAGCTAAACAAAGAGGACGATAATTCTGTTGCGGAACACACAATCTTGTAAAGTAAATGACTAAATCTTGCTGTATTACCTCAAGATACATTTGAAATTATGCAGCAAAGTGGGAATACTTCAACAGAAAACTTTCCTTAGAGCAATTTTCACGGTAATTTTTCTTTGAATAATTTTACTCCAACTAAAATATCCCAGCTTACATGGGTTAGTA